CGCTGCCCGGCAGGTCTGGACGGGCTGTCGGAGCGCTGTGCCCAGTACAAGAAGGATGGGGCCGACTTTGCCAAGTGGCGCTGTGTGCTGAAAATCAGTGACAACACCCCCTCTGCGCTCGCCATCATGGAGAACGCCAACGTCCTGGCCCGCTATGCCAGCATCTGCCAGCAGGTATGTGTTTGTGGCCGGGCGTTGCCCCACGGGATGGGCATTGACCCATAGGATGGCTGCTGACTTAAGGGACCAGGTATCGCCCCACAGGGATGGGCACAAATTTATGGGGCTCCACATTGCCCCTGTGCCTGGGTATCAACCCATGGGGCTGGACATCAACCTGTGGGTTGGGTAACACCTCACGTGGATGGGTATTGACACCCAGGACCTGGCATTGCCCCATGGGGTGGGCATCACCCACGGCGCCAGGCCTTACTGCATGGGACTGGGCATCACCCCACAAACATGGGCATTGCTCCATGGGGCCAAGAGTTGACCTTCTTAGGTTGGGCATCACCTCATGGGGCCGGGCATCGCCTCATGGGGCCGGGCATCACCCCATGAGGCCAGGCATTCCTCCACGGGGCTGGGCATCACCCCACAAACATGGGCATTGCTCCATGGGGCCAAGAATTGATCTTCCTAGGCTGGGCATCCTCCCATGGGGCTGGGCATCACTCCATGGGGCTGGGCATCACCTCGTGGGGTGGGCATCACCCCACTGGGGTGGGCATCACTGGCAAGGGTGGACATTGAACTTCCGGGCTGAGCATCGCCCCCCAGGTGCAGGTGTTGGCCCACATTGCCATGGGGCTGGGGCGATGCCCAGGGATGTCCCCATGATGGCATCTGCCTGGTGTTTGCAGAATGGCATCGTGCCCATCGTGGAGCCAGAGATCCTGCCCGATGGTGACCACGACCTCAAGCGGTGCCAGTACGTGACGGAGAAGGTGAGCAGTGGAGCGGGCAGCAGGGCGGGCACCGTGCCGTGCTGTGCCATGCTGGGGGACTCCACACTGCCCGTCCTCCCCAGGTGCTGGCAGCTGTCTACAAGGCTCTGAGCGACCACCACGTCTACCTGGAGGGGACCCTGCTGAAACCCAACATGGTGACCCCCGGGCACTCCTGCCCCACCAAGTACAGCCCCGAGGAGATCGCCATGGCCACTGTCACAGCCCTGCGCCGCACTGTGCCCCCGGCCGTGCCAGGTACTGGCACCAGGACGTGGCAGGGAGCAGGAGGGGGATGCACTGTGGCCCCCCTGATGCCATAACCTCGCTCTCTGCAGGTGTCACCTTCCTGTCTGGGGGTCAGAGTGAAGAGGAGGCTTCCATCAACCTCAACGCCATCAACACGTGCCCGCTGGTGCGGCCATGGGCCCTCACCTTCTCCTACGGGCGGGCACTGCAGGCATCAGCGCTCAGCGCCTGGCGCGGGCAGCGGGACAACGCCACCGCCGCCACCGAGGAGTTCGTCAAGCGTGCAGAGGTGATGGGGCTTTTTTTTTCTCTGGGGGCTGCATCCCAAGGGGGTGGTGGGGACATCAAGGGCTGCGTCCCTGTGGGAGGGGGTATGCCAACGACTGCGCCCCTTGGGATGGGGGATGCTGAGGGCGATGTCCCATGGGGTGACAGGAGACATCAAGGGCTGTGCCGCACAGGATGGGATGCCAAAGGCCACGGTCCCCATGGGGGGACACACAGGACGGTCTCCCTGTGGGATGGGGGACATGAGGATGGTGTCCCCAGAGGGCAGTGGGGGGTGCCGAGGGCCAGGTCACTGCGGGATGGGCCATGCTCCCTAGGGTGACATGGGACATCCATGTCTCTGTCCCTTTGGGAAGAGGGATGCCAAAAGCCGTGTCCGGTGGGGTGACATGTCCCATGGGGGGATAACGAGGGTTGTGAGGGATGTGGGATGCCGAGAGCTCTGTCCCTATGGGAGGGGGAAGCCAAGGGCTGTGGTGCAAGGGCACGGGGACACCAAGGACCATGTCCCTATGGGATGGGGCACACAGAGGGCCATGTCCCCATGGGCTGGGGGACCCTGAAGGCTGTGTCCCCAGGGACTGGGGGACGCCGAGGGCCATGCCCCACGGGGGCCACTGATGTTTCCTTTCCTTGCAGGTGAACGGGCTGGCGGCGCTGGGCAAGTAC